AAACGTCAGCCTCTCTGCTCGGCCTGCAGTATTATATAGTGTTTGGATACTCAGTGCTGCCCCATGTTAAAATCCACAGTATTGCAGAGTGTTTGAATACTCAGTGCTACCACTACCTCTGCCTGCCTTTGCTGTGTTAATGTAGTGTTGTTGCCTTGACCAGGGGAGTACCACATGCGCACTGTATAGTCTGTATCTACAGGGAGCAGCGGTGCTCGGTATGTAACTGCACAAGGAATAGCAGCTCCGGCGCCCGGCCGCGAAAGCAACATCTTTGTGCCCAGTCCCAGTTTCTCTCCCGTGGCTGCAGTACCCAGGCTGTCTCCTACCTCAGGCGGCCTAACTCCTTTACTGGGCCGCCGCTGATTTTCTCTTCCGCCTTCCTGGAGGTTGCTCTCTTCAGGGCCGACATGGTGCATTAGGGAGGGGATGTGGAGCTGGTGTTTGTACTGCCTACACCAGCCGTAAGCAATCGAGCTGCTGCAGGGGCGTTCTCAGGCAACAGCTGGAACCTAACCTCCGTTTTGCATCCAAATGAATGCAGCACTTCACCCTGCAGATCGACTGCTTTGTGAATGTAGCAAGCCTGGGTAATGACCATTTAATCTTGCTAATGCAGAATGCAAGTATGTAGCCTGGAGGGGCAACTGGGTAAACTTGGGCAGAACAAATGGGAATGCAAAACAAAACCAAACTAAAACAAAATTCTGGAACCTCTTCAGGGAGGGTGGAGTAATGTTTGACTGCTTTGCTCTTGGGTAAAAATAGTACTTGTCAATGGACTAACTTGTAAACTATTTGGGGCAGCCTTGATTTGGGTGATTCGGTGCTCTTGCCCCAACCCTTACACTAGGTATAAGATGCCATGGCGAGAGTGTGTCCTACCCCCAACCTGGGAGACCTATAGTTGCCAGTTAAAGGCACAAGTAAGACATACTGTGGCATAATCCTCAAAAATGGTTGGTGTTTCATGTTACCAGCTTGACATAATTGCTACAGTCACTCTGTCTCCTATACACCCTGTATTGGCATCAGTTTTAAAATAGGCCCCATTTTTCCAATGAGAATCTTTATCAAGACTGATTGTATGTTGCACCTAACCACTGCACAGCACAGAGAATCTTGTTTCTGAGCACAACAGTTGAGGGTGCATCCACTGAACTGGTTTCAGATATAATTTGGTTGTGGTTGTATTGAAGCTTTTTTTTGCAAGTCATAACTGACAGCAAATTTATTGAAGGGTTCTGCTACCTTCTTAAGGCCAATACATACATACAAAATATATTGCCAAATGCAAAATTTAGGTATTTATGGATGAGTGTTTACAAAATGTCACAAATAATGATGTAAAAATACAATAATTCTGCTGTATCAATATTTTCTCCCGAGGTCTTACAGGCCACAGACTTTGTACGTTTGAAGAATGGCAGATGGTCTTGGGGACAAGCCAATGGAGGCAGATAATGGGACTAATACACTTAAACCCCCACAGATGGGTTTGAAACTAGTACATCTGGATTTGAAAGGAGCCCCACCCAAGGTCTCCTATCTAGCAGAGGTGATGTGAGTCACAATACTGGCATTTTAATATTTCTTCTCAGTGATTACATTTTAGAACAAAATAAAGGTCACTTTAACCTGTTAGATAGTTTCAGTAACAAAATATTGACTGAATTTTTAAATCAATATTTATAACAAATATTTGCCTGAATCATTAACTATAATTAATGATGCTTGTAATACAAAGAATGTTAAATAAAGCATGCATTAAATTGGGTGTGTTTAGGAGGATAGCATGGCCAATGAGAATATGCAGGAGAAATGTTTGTCTAGAATGAGAAACTTCAATATTGTGGATAAACCTTAGAAAAAGTGGAGCTCTGTCCATTTGGATAAATATCATGAAAAGAAAATTTGATAGAAGTGTTTATGTTTATGAGGCTTTGATGTAGTAAACAATATATAAGCTAGGAAAGGAGCCATACTAGATCTGGTATTGGGGAATATGCCTGGTCAGATGATTGAAGTTTCAGAGGGGAAGCATTTTGGGAACAGTAACCATAATTCTCCAAGTTTTAAGTTCATTTATGGATAAAGATAAAAGTAGTCCTCAGATGAAAGTACTAAATTGGGTGAAGGCTAACTACAATACTATTAGACAGGAACTGGTGAATGTAGATTGAAGCAGCTATTTGATGGTAAATCCACAGCTGGCATATAGGAATCCTTTTAAAGGCCAGTTAATTAGAGTTCGGGACTAGCATGTTCCTGTGAAAATGAAGAATAAGGATGGCAAGAGAAATTGAGAGCTTAGTCAAAAAGAAAATGGAAAGATGCTTAAGGTTGAGGAAACTGAAGACAGACAGAGCTCTTGAACAGTACAAATACAGCAGGAAAGAACTCAAAGACTAAGGAGGGCTAAAAGGAATCATGAAGTAACTTTGGCAAACAAGATTAAGAAACATCCCAAGGTATTTTATATATAATTAAGGAGCAAGAGGGTAGGTCCACACAAGGACAAAGGAGGGAATTTATGCATGGAGCCAGAGGAAGTGAGTGAGGTCCTTAATGAATACTGAGCATTGGTATTCTCCAAGGAGAAGGACATTGTGGGTGTTGAGTCTCGGGAGGGATATATAATGTTCTAGAGCATGTTGATATTTATAAAAAGGTATTGGATAATTTGAAAAGCATTAGGGTAGATAAGCCCCAGAGCCTGGTAGGATCTATCTCAGAGAGCTGAGGGGAGGTAGTTGATGAAATTGCTGGGGCCTTGTGCGAAATCTTTGTATCCTGTTTAGTCACAGGAGGGGTCCCGGAGGACTGGAGAATAGCCAATGTCCTTCCTTTGTTTAAGAAGGGTAACAGGGATAATCTGGGAAATTACAGGCCAGTGAGCCTTACGTCAATGGCAGAGAAGTTATTGGAAAAGACTCTTACCAATAAGATTTACTCACATTTGGAAAAATATGGACTTATTAGTGATAGGCAGCATGGCTTTTTGAGGGGAAGGTCATGTCTCACAAACTTGACTGAGTTTTAGAGGAAGTGACAAAGATGATTGAGGGTAGGGCAACAGATGTTGTCTGTATGGACTGTAGCAACACCTTTGACAAGGTTCCCCATGGCAGGCTGATATGAAAGATGAAGTCACATGGGCACCACGGTGAGCTGGTAAAATGGATACAGAAATGGCTTAGTAATAGAAGACAGAGAGTAGCGGTGGAAGAGTGTCTTTTGACTGGCAATCTGTGACCAGTAGTGTTCTGCAGGGATCAGTGTTGGGACCCCAGTTGTTTGCGATATACATATGTGATTTTGGAGGAGAATGTAGATGACCTGGTTAGTAATTTTGTGGATGATGCAAAGATTGGCCAAGTTGTGGATAGTGAGGAGGATTACCAGAGGATAGATAGACTGAGACCTGGGCAGAGCAATGGCAGATGGAGTTTATTCCAGACAAGTGCGAGGTGATGCATTTTGGAAGATTTAATGCAGGAGGGAACTATACAGTAATTGGCAGAACCCTTAGTAGCATCAACATACAGAAGGATCAAGGTGTACAGGTCCACAGTTCCCTGAAAGTAGCAACACAAGTAGATAAGATGATCAAGAAGGCATATGGCATGTTTGCCTTCATTGGTCGGGGCATAAAGTATAAAAATTGGCAAGTCATGTTGCAGCTGTATAGAACTTTAGTTAGGCCACATTTGGAATATTGCACACAGTTCTGATCGCCAAACTCCCAGAAGGATGTGGAGGCTTTGGAGAGTGTCCAGGAACAGTTTACCAGGGTGTTGCCTGATTTGGAGGGTATTAGCTATGAGGACAGATTGGGCAAACATGGTTTGTTTTCACTTCAACGTCAAAGGATGAGAGGTGACCTGATAGAGGTTTCCAAAATTACGAGAAGAATGGATAGTCTGAGTCTCTTTTCCCAAGGTAGAAATGTCAATTATTAAAGGGCATTAGTAAACTAGATCGGTTTAAGGTTCAAGGCGGTAAGTTTAAAGGAGATGTGAGAGGCACCGTTTTTACACAGGGAGTGTAAGTGCCTGGAATGTGCTGCCAGAGGAGTGGTGCAGGTGGAGAGAATAGCAATGTTTAAGAGGCATCTTAACAGATATATGAATAGGCAGGGATAGAGGGATATGGACAGCATAAAGGCAAAAGGTTTTTAGTTTAGAAAGGCATCATGTGTTGATGCAGTCTTGGTAGGCCAAATGGCCTGTTCCTGTACTGTACTGTTCCTTATTCTCTTCGTTCTTTAAATCTTGGGAAGCTATTTCCACTGGTCAGTGACTTAGTAACTCAAGGCATAAGTCGACATAGGTAAACTAGACTAGGTAACACTGTTCACTGTTGTCGAATTCTAAGATTCTAATGATTAATGTGGCCAACTTGAAAATTGCAAAAGTACAGTGTAATCCCAATTCATGCTTTTAAAAAATGCTGTTTACATAGCCCCAAGTCAATTCATGTAATATATTAAACAAAAACTTACTATTGCAACCACATGACATCTCAAAGCATTAAAGCATTTTGCAGCTAATGAAGTACTTTTGAAGTGTTAAGGGAATGTTAAAGGAAAAGATTACATGTTATGCGATAATGAAGTAAAATGTAATCAAATGGATTCTACTAACTTCGTACTTATTGAGCAGAGTTCTTGCACAAATATGATTTCTTATACAGAAGCTGTTAGTGAGTTAAGAGAACCTTACGAAAAGTTAACTTAAAGTTTACTGTCTTGATACTTCCTGATTTAATGTGAGGACGAGTATTATGTCTATTCTGTACATCTTGTAACTGAGCTGTTAAATTTCAAACTTTGCAATCTAACCTCACCACAATGGAATGTGGGTGTTGCTAGCTTGGCCAACATTAATTGCCCATCCCTAATTGCCTAAATGACAGAAAAGCATCAACCACACTTCCATGGATCTGGAGTCACATGTAGGCCGGACTTGGTAAGGATGGCAGATTTCCTCCCGTAAAGAGCATTAGTCAACAAGATGGTGTTTTTTTTATATGACAACTGACACTGGTTACATGGTTGACATTGGCTAACTTTTATTACAGATTTTTATTGAGTTTCAATTTCACCATCAACTATGTTAGGATTCTAACAAATGTTTCCAGAACATTAGCCTGGCTTTCTGGATGACTAGCCCAATTACATTACGACTATTACCACCCCCAGAACTGGTGATCCACACATGTATGCACATCTGATTGTAGAGTAATACTGCAACAACTAGCGAACCTTAGAGGTTGTTTAGATTTTTAACATGTAATTCTAATTTAAAAAAACACATTTTAGTTTAATTTTCTAGAATTTTGATCCTTTGGCCTGCTGTTCTCACAATGTTAGAGATCACCTTTCATTACTGAAAAATTTTGTTTCATAAAACTATAACTTGACATAGTCTATCTTTCAAGGAGATAACACAAGAGCAATGGGCTAAGTGGCCTTCCTGTGCTCTGTGATTCTATGAACTTCTGAAATTTGAATTGAAACAGCTATATTTCAATTTTCTGTTGTAGATCTTTCCTCTGCTTTCCCACCTTGGTGCAGATGGTATTTTACTGGAGTATGAAGATATGTTTCCATATGAGGGGAAGCTGCAGGTGTTAAGGTCTCCAAATGCCTACAGGTAAAAGTTTCATAAATGGATTAATATATGACTACTCCAACTTACTTTGATTTTTCTTCTAATTCGTGAGGTTCAATGGAATTTTACTTACTTCTTGTTTCACAGTTTCCTGGTTCATTGGGACACTGGTTGTTCTCTTGCTGCCTAAGCCTGCTTGCCAGTATTGTACTTTTTGGGCAATTAATCAGTGGTTTTCATGCATGGTGAATGTTATCGTAAAATTCCATTTGCAGAATTACTGGTGAAGTCCATAGATTCTTGTTCCCGAGAGCAATGTTTAATTTATTTTTGCACTGTGATATATTTGTCCTCGTAAGCGGATGGAATAAAAAAAATAAAAATACTTATGAAAATCCAGAACAATACAAGGATGCTAAAATTCAAACAATCTATACTACAAGAGAAAAGATTGTTTGGCAGGTTGATTTGTTTAGGTAATACATTGCCATGAAGAAAGCAACAGGATAGTATAAGCTCTTCAAGCTCTCAATAATCCCAAGAAATGTGTAAGGTTTAAAGATATCTTTTTTGCTTACAGAGAACAGAGCCCTCTTCATGAACAAAAATAGAAGTTGCTGGAAAAGCTCAGCAGGTCTGGCAGCATCTGTGAAGAAAAAATCAGGTCTAGTGACCCTTCCTCAGAACTGATGGTAGCTGGGAAAACGTCGACTTATATGCAGAAAATAGGGAGGGGGTTGGGGTAGGGAGTGAACGATAGGATAGAGCCCGAAGAGAGAGAAGAGCAGTTGGATAGGCAAAGGAATTGATAACAATCTAGCTGGGAGGGTGAATAGTTCTTAATGGGGACAGTTAGTAACTAACAATAGGTAGTGTGTAATGGCAGGCTATGTGATAACAAGGCCTGGTGTGTGGGGTAGGAAGCTAGGACATGGGAGAGTTTAGGCTCTAAAGTTAAAGATATTGAGTCTGGAGGGCTGCAGGGTCCCCAAGTGGAAAATGAGGTGTTCTTCTTCCAGCTTGTGTTGAGCTTCGCTGGAACGCTGCAGCAAGCCAGAGACACAGATGTTGGCCAGGGAACAGGGTGGTGTGTTAAAGTGGCAGGCAACAGGTAGCTCAGGGTCTTTTTTGCGAGCAGAACGTAGATGTTCTGTGAAGTGGTCACCCAGTCTACGCTTCGTTTCCCCAATATAGAGAAGACCACATTATGTTCAGCGAGTGCAGTAGACTAGAATGGAAGTGCAGGTGAAGTATTGCTTCACCTGGAAGGTATGTTTGGGCCCCTGGATCGTGGGGACGGAGGAGGTAAATGGGCAGGTTTTGCACCTTCACTGGTTGCAGGGGAAGGTGCCGTAGGCTGCGGGGGGTGTTGGGGTTGAAGGTAGAGTGGACCAGGGTGTCCCAGAGGGAACGGTGCCTGTAGAAGGCAGACAAGGGAGGGGAGGGGAATTATGTGTCTGGTGGTGGCATCTTGATGAAGGTGATGGAAGTGGCCCTCTTTATGAATCCTTTTAACTAGCATAAATAAGGCAATTTACAAGCTTGACTGATTATCTTAAATTGGTTGTCTTTTTCTACTGACAATGGTATCTTGTTGGTGGAAAACACTACCTGTGAAGCTGATGGAGAGTGGTAGTATGAAACAGCCAACTTAAAAGACATACATTCTCACCAGCCCAGTTTGGCATTCGTCCACCTCCATGGTGACCTTACTTCTGCTTCCCACCCTCCTGCCTTTTTGTCAAGGTGGTCCAGCAAGTCAGGAAGTTTCACCTCGATAGCGAAATTCTAGTCCATTATCTCTGCTTTTATCAATTCCTTTGATATCTTCCCCCATATTTTCTTTACTGTTAGAATTTTCACTTTCTTTTCCCCCAACCTGAATGTTAATACAGTGTTAGCTTTATATGTTCTTCCACCGTTAATAAATGCTAGTTGGAACCCTTGTATGTGCCAGCTAAGGAAACAAGCAAAAACTGATCAACAGACAATATCTTAAAGAACAGCTGACAGCCTGCCCAAAACAAAAACATATCATCATGATTCAATACAAGCCTAAACTGTGTTTAAAATGCTCCATGGCCTTGTTCTTCCCTGCCTCCAAAACCGTCTCCAACTTTACCACATTTTGAGAACTTTGCATTTCACCAACACTCTTTAGAACATCCCTACCCAATTTAAATACCATCTGAAATCATACGTTCAGATGTTTAGCAGCTATGCTCTGCAATTTCATCCTTAATTTTTTTTTTACCTCTTCACTCCTTCTTCCCTTAATTTTTTTTGCCTCTTCACCTCCTTCCTCACTTAAGGCCATCTTGAAGTTCACCTTCTGACTAGACCTATTCCAGGTTGGTCCACTCTTTGCAATGACTCATTCCACTCCCATGGTGACCTTATGCTTCCCACCCTCCTGTCTTTTTTGTCAAGTTTGCTTAAGGTGTTGTATGATACTACAACAGTAGTGTGAAAATGTTCAACAGTACTTTACAGGATGCTGTCAGTGCTAAAGCTGACAAAAAATTATATAGATTTGGTGTTATGAGAATACATTGGTTGGCAACTTAAGTTGTTCACAAGGACAATGCAATGAATATAATCGGTTTAGATTTTCAGAAAGCTTTCCGCAATGCTTTGAAAATTAGATTACAAGATAAGGAAAGATTAATGGAGTTATTGGCTCATTACTTTATTGAGTTGCAGGCTGATTTGACAACATAAAAGAGATGGTAATGATAGCGGAGAAAATATCTGTTGGAATTTAGCAGGAATTTATTCAGCATCTCTTGCTATTCAATTGTTTTATAAATGTTGTGGGGCTTGCAATCAGTCATTTGCGGTCACATTAAACTTTGTGGCCTGATGCTGAACAAAAGAATCAGCTTACTCAGATTCATAAGATCTGAACAAATGAGCTGAGGAATGATGGATTTTAATGGAGGGAAGGGAATGTCAGGTAACATGTATGTAATTTCCAGACTCTGAGTTGTCACCATTAATATTGCAGCAAGGAATTTCTGCGGTACCTCACTGGCAGCTTTGAAGGTAAGGACTCTCGAGAAGTGTAGTGCATGGTCTGCCCTCCATAATCCATCTCCCTTTTTTTGGGGGGGTGTGGGATGGAGATTGTGGGTGGTACACCCATCCTTCAGTCTGTTGAGATCCTCAAGTGGCCAGTTAGTGGCCACCTAAGTACCTTATCTTGCTCCATCTGAGTGCAGGTTTGTACATATTCACTGAGTATAATTGTTGCTTTACCTGGTTTCTTCTCCCACTTAGCATCCTGACAAAATTCAATCAACCATAGAGGAACCTGGAAATGGAGGTGTATTCAAAGCTGGTGTGATTGTTAATAACAATGTGCTTTCCTCATTGCAGTCCATCAGAAATCAGAGAAATCATGAATCTTGCCAGAGTGCTTCATTTAGAAGTAATTCCATTAGTGCAAACCATTGGCCACATGGAGGTGAGTTTAGAAACAAACTAAAGCTGAAAGGCCACATGAGGCTAAATCTCATGAAATTTCCAAAAAGGATGGATGAGTAACTTTACTGTAAATAATGCTGCCTCACAATAGATTGATGTGGAGGTGCCGGTGTTGGACTGGGGTGGACAAAGTCAAAAATCACATGATACCAGGTTATAGTCCAACAGGTTTATTTGAAATCACAAGCTTTCTAACGCTGCCCCTTTGTCAGATGCAGTGAGAGGAGAGCAGACAGACACAGAGTTTATGGACAGAGAGGTGAAGGGCAGAAAGTTCGAAGGATTATTTGATCTCTCTGCCCTTCATCTCTCTGCCTACAAACTCTGTCTCAGTGTGCTCTCCTTTCACTGCACCTGACAAAGGAGCTGCGCTTCGAAAGCTTGTGATTTCAAATAAACCTGTTGGACTATAACCTGGTGTCATGTGATTTTTGACTGTTCACAATAGAATGCACAAGAATGCATTAATTGCTGTGTGACTTAAGCCATATGCACATTTCCTTAGAACTTAGATAACTGATCAAAGCCAGTACATCTTGTATCAAATACTTTGCATAATTTTGCAATGTTGGTTCCTGTCTTAAATAAGGTATGTAAGTCCAAACTCTGGTTAAAAAATTTTTTAGTATTGTGATATTCTGTGCTTCAAAATGTGAATCAGTCTTGATATAGTTCAACGCAGTTGTACCCCTGTCAGTGTAGGACCTGGGATGCATATCCACTTAACTACTGGAGAATACAATAACCCATGAGAGATTTCTGTATACTAAATCCAGAATATATCATTATTTTGATAAGTTGAATTACCATTGATTGATACTTTTAAACCTTGTTCCTACAGTTTGTGCTGAAACATAAAATGTTTTCCCATCTTCGCGAAATGAAAGAGTTTCCTAACAGTCTCATACCTTGTAAGAAGGAGTCCGTGGACCTAGTAAAATCCATGATTGACCAGATCATGGCAGTACATAAAGACTTAAAATGGCTGCACGTTGGATCTGATGAGGTACTGCAACAATTATGTGGGAGATTTGATGAGCAGTTTACAAACATATTGCGTGTCCTCCAAGGACACTAAGTTAATTGTATGGTGTTTACCTTTTCTAAAATAAAAATTGTTTATTTCTATGTTATCTTTAGGTTTATCATCTTGGTGAAAGTGAAGAATCTAAGAAATTGCTTGCACAAACCCAAAATACTGCAGACAGCCTGTTTCTGTCTCATGTGAAAGCTGTTGCAAATTACATCGTCACTAGCTACCCTAATGTGAAACCCATCATTTGGGATGACATGCTCCGGAACATCAGTGAAGAGAAACTTAAAGGTATTGTTGCTTTTCAGTGACTCCATTTAAACTAAGACAATGAAGTGGAAAGCTATGCTTTGTTTTATGTTCAGCTTTTCAGATGACCTGATTCCCAGCACAGTGCACATGCTGTAGATCAGTTGAAACATTGAAACCCCACAATAGGTTCAAACCAGTTTGTATTCTGATAACGATGCTCTTAAGCAAGTTCTTTACTGCTATCATATGCTACCAGTATGTCTACAGACACGTCCATTTACACATCACAACCAACAGAAAGTAGTTCAGGCTTGCCCACCTGAGATCCAGGACAGAAATGTGCCAGATGCGTTGGAGAGTTGCAGTGTACCAGTGATACTACACCAGCATTCCATGCTAAGGAACGCCTTCAAGCTGTGAATAAATAAACTCTTTCATGCTTGTGAAGAGTTTGGTTAACCATCAGTATGAGGAAGACTAATGCCATGATCCAAAATGTTGCTGTACTACTAACGGTCAGCATTGATAGGTCTGCAGTCACAAGTAATTTGTCATTTGTTGCTGAAATCAACACGTGCATTGCATCAATTATATATAAACCATGTAAGTAAGTGTCCAATGACAGCCACTTGATAGAAAGTTCTGAACTATGACTTAGCCAAACCTGAATCATCGGAGCACTGCTGTACAGTTCTGAGACCTGGACAACATATGCTAAACAGAAGAAAAGGCCAAACAGTTTCTATCTTTGCCAAGGATACATTTGAGACAGCATCATTCTATAACTCACAGTCGCCAAGTCAAAGATCCTGGACTGTACTAATTTCATCAGCATACACTCATTACTAAGCCAATGATGACTGTAATGACTTGGCCATGTTCAATTGATGATGGCAGCGTACCCAAAGATATTCCATATGGTGAGCTGGCACTGTGTCAATATATGTACTTCTACAAAGACTCCTGCATGTGAGAAATGGAGATGGCAAACATTGACACAACTGTACGACAACACTGAAGGCCAGGACTTTTGGAGGCTGATTGTCTCTTCCAAACAAAGAGAAATGGAAGGCTCATCTAGCTGAAAAGAAGGCCCAGAATAAAAGGAGGCCAATGAATTCTATACCTTATCAGCAAAATGTTTCCATTTACAGCTAGTGCAGGAGAGATGGCTATGCCAGTCTGAGGCCTTTGTGATACACCAGGCAATGATTCAGAGTTGATCACCAAAGCACAAACCATTATCAAGATGAAAAGATGCCAGAGGCACATGCTCCTCCATTATTACTATATTGAGTGTTTCTGCTGTCACTTTAAATACATTATTTTTGCTCTTACTTTAAAGGAAGGAGAAAGACATGAACTTCCTAGCATTTGTAAACCCTCAGGATATCCCCAGTTATTTTACAGACAATTAATTACATTTGTAGTGTAATTGTTGTTGTTACGTGAGAAAAGTGGCAAAGAATTTATACACAGCTGACTCCCACAAACACCAATGTGTTAATAGCCTGTGTTTGTAAAGTTGATTCAGGAATAGAGATCACCTTTAAATTAGTACCATGGAATCTTTTACATCCACCTGAGATCAAATAGAGCCATAATTTAAAGTTTCAACCAAAATGCTAGATTTCTAGGCTGTAGGACTTTATTCACTGGAGCTTAGAAAAAATGAAGAGGTGTCTCAAAAAACCTGGTAAATTTTAACAGTACTGGACAGGGCAAATGCAGGAAGGATGTTCTTGTCGACCAGGGAGCCCAGCACCGAGGGTCATAGTGTAAGTAAAAGGGGTAGGCCATTTAGGACTGAGATGACGAGAAATTTCTTCAAGCCAAAGAGTGGTGAGCCTGTGGAATTCCCTGCCACAAAGCAGTTGAGGCTAAAACATTATATGTCTTCAAAAAGGAGATTGATATAGCTCTTAGGGCTAAAGGGATTAAGGGATGTGAGGAGAAAGAAGGTACTGAGTTGGATGATCATCAATGATTGTATTGAATGATAAAGCAGGCTTGAGGGGCCAAATGGCCTACTTCTGCTCCTAATTTCTATGTTTCTATGCGGAAGTCTCTAGAATGGGACTTGAAACCAAACCTTCTGAGTCAGCAGGAGTGACAACTTTCAAGTAGACTTTTGTCATCTCTGAGTGTGACAAATGTTTTATGTCTTTCTGTTGCAATATTAAAAGGTTGTAAATATATGTGCATTTCTTCTGGAATGAAATAATTTGCAACATAATTTCTAGGAATCTGCTTACTTTTCCTTGGTACAGTACATTTAATCCGCAACGTTCCTCATGGTTTATTCTGAAGCTTTCCTTTTATTTTTTTGATTGACATAATGTGCTGTGTGATCTCCTTTTTTGCCCAGTTTGCTGGCATGACTTGGTTTTGTAATATTTTGTCGGTGGTTTCCTATTTGGTATATTGCCTCTTATATGTTTTTATAGTTTCAGCATTCATACAAGGATGTTGATTTCATCCAGTGATTACTATAACCTGTGTTTGAGCTACTTAAAGAAAGTTGAAATAGCGTTCCAGTTTTTATTTTCAAGAAAATGCCTGTTTTGCTATGAAAACTGGTATGACCAATTCTCCAGAACAAATAAGATGTAAAAAGATATTACATGCAACTTCTACAATGGTTTCATGGTTATCATTACATTAGATGTTTGAATTCCAGATTTGTGAATTGAATTCAAGCATCACCATCTTCCATGGTGAGCTCTGAACCACCATGGTCAGAGCATTAACCTGGGGTTCTGGATTACAAATCCAGTAACATTACCACCATGTACCGCCTGGCCCATCTTAATGCAATCCTGCTGTTCTGAAGTTTATATTTACTCTGTGCTATTCTCAACTGAGCAGGGGAAATCTACACTTTTACTTTAAATTTATTTTTTTCTAAGTTATTTTAGTTTTTTATTTTTAATGCAAATCTTATTTAAACATTTTTCCTTTTGTATCCCATTTAGAATCCATGTTGAGTCAATTTGTTGAACTGATGATTTGGGAATATAATGCCAATTTTAAGGTAGATGGCATGAGTAAGTAAATGTGCTTTGTTTTCGATATCTATAACCATTCATAGCAGTGTGAAATTAGCCAAGCAGTTCTTGGCGTTCCTCAGGATCGCATAAAGAGAATGGCATGACCTGGCATTTTTGTATATTGCTACACTTGTTTTAGTAGAAGCAGTTCAAAATAAAGTCAAGCTGTGCAAATCTTATTTATAAATTAATAAACTCATGCATCTGGTAAGACAAGACATTCCTTTAACTTTGTATCTTGTCAGAATGTATCACATGGCAATTTATCAAAAACCAAACTGATTTAGGATAGCTATATTATTATAAAAAGGCTTTCACAGAGGGTATTGAATTAATTTTCTGCACCAAGAAATAGAAACTATTTCTACAGAGTGCTTCCACAGTTAGTCTTTTCAAGAACAAAATACTGCAGGTACTGGAACCTGACATAAAGTCACAAAATGCTGGAAATCCTCAACAGCATCTTTAGTGCATAGTTCCTTGAAAGTGGAGTCACAGGAGGATAGCGTGGTGAAGAAGGCGTGTGGTATGCTTGCTTTCATTGGTCAGTGCATTGACGATAGGAGTTGGAGGTCATGTTGCAGCTGTGCAGGGCATTGGTTAGGCCACTTTTAGGATACTGTGTTCAATTCTGGTCTCCCTGCTATAGGAAAGATGTTGTTAAACTTGAAATGGGTCAGAAAAGATCTACAAAGGATATTGCTGGGATTGGAGAGTTTGAGATATAAGGGCTGAATAGGCTGAAGCTTTTTCCCTCGGAGCATTGGGGACTGAGAAGTGATCATTAAAGAGGTTTACAAAATCATGAGGGGCATGGATAGGGTGAATAGCCAAGGTCTTATTCCCAGGGTAGGGGAATCCAAAACTAAAGGGCACAGGTTTAAGGTGAGAGGGGAAAGATTTAAAAGGGACCTCGGGGCAGCTTTTTCACGCAGAGGGTGGTACGTGTATGGAACAAGTTGCCAGAGGAAGTGTTGGAGGCTGGTACAATTACAACATATAAAAGACATCTGGATGGGTACATGAATAGGAAAGTTTCAGAGTGATATGGGCCAAATGTTGGCAAATGGGACTAGATCAATTTAGGATATCTGGTCAACATGGATGAGTTAGAAAGAAGGATCAGTATCTGTGCTGTATAACTCTGAGTAGGACTCGTGAGAGAAAAAGATGTTTACATTATTATCCCCTTCTGATGGCATTTGTCTTTTTAAAAAAAAAAGTCAGTTTTCTTCTTTCCCTGCACTAACCTTTATCCTATCTCTCTACTCGCTCAAAAACTTGTGACATCTCTGACTTTTTCCAATTCTGATCAAAGGTCATTAACTTGAAATTGTAACTGTTTATTTCTCTCCTGTTGTTGTCAGACCTTCTGAGTATTTTCCACTTTGATATATCATTATGCATGGATTTTAAAGTGTCAAGTTGAAATTACTTTTATGATGGTTGATACAATTTAACGATTTGTGCATTTTGGTACATTTTCAGTGACTTTGAAAATAAATGAACCCCTTGGAGGTATGATTTCTGATGGCACTTGTAATAACAACACCTAATTTGTAATAAGAAATGTCAGTCACCGAGCAATATCTGAAGTCATAATCGTACATGTTGTAATTGGCTGAGAACAGCTTTCCCTCAACAAGATTTCATGCTTGAAGATTTTAAAAATTGGTTTTCATATATGCAAATAAAATAAGACAAGTTATGTCTCATACACTGATGATATTCTGTTTTTGTTCACTAAGTGCTTCAAATTCAAAAATACCAACGGTCTGGATTTTCTCATATGTGGTTTGCAAGTGCGTTTAAAGGAGCCACTGGTGCAGCTCAGTCTCTAACACCCATTAGCTATCACTTAGCCAATCACCTGCAGTGGCTGAAGGTGGCAGAAGCTCTTTCAAGGGACTCTATACAGTTACATGGGATAGCACTCACTGGTTGGCAGAGGTATGTGAACAAGGGAAAAGGTTCATAAATCTGCTGCATTTTCACCACAGTCTAATAAGTACACTTTTCATCCTTTTTGTTTAATTGTTTAGTTTATCATTTCAGTTGATTTATTTTTACCCTGTCAAATAATGTTAAGGGATGAAATGAATCTGAAGGGCAAACAGTAGTTTAACAAATACATTTGGATTGAAATTCCATTGAACAATATTGGTAAATATATTTGTACATAATTCTGCTCTGTACTATTTCAAAGTGCTTGACTCTTAACTAGCTAACCAAGTCACACAGTTGTGACAATTGGAACTGGGCAACAAATGCTGGCTTTGCCAACGATGCCCACATCCCATGAACTAATAAAAAAAAGCATTAAGCTGAATATTGAAATTGGCTCAACTTCCAAATGGTAATGAGAGGAACTCTGTATACTTGCATCAGTGCTGTCTTCTGCACAAAATGTATGTAATTTTGGTTGTCTGAAGAATCAATTTTATTCCCAGATTATTGTGTGTTTTACAGTTATATAAAAACAAAGCATTTAAAGTTACAGGTAATAGCAATTTGCAAGTGCATAACACTGCTGTAATGTACTTGCATCTCATAACATTTCATGACTTATAATATCTGGATCATTTTTATTAGTTCTTGACTCTGTGATTAATATTGATGTTTCCAAGAAGTAGGAAAATTTATCTATGCTGTGATGTAAGTTGTATGATTTATATATAACTTAGTAACATTTATCTTGGAGTTTGGGTTTTGAATTTGTGGCATGTAGGTTTGGTCTGTGTCTATGAAGGTGTTTTAGTAGTACCTTGTATTTCGGTAGCCATGACAACTTCTTTTAAAACACAGTATGAGAGAGAGATTTTATGGAGAGTAATAGGGTTTTGTTTATCTTGGGAGAGTTTTACAAACAAACAAAGTAAACAATGGTTATTAGGTTTCAGTTAGACAATTCTAGGATTTTTTTGGATTACAGGAAACACCCATAGCTTGAAGAAAGTCCTATTGGTTCTGGTTTGCAGAGATCTTGGCTGGAGCTGAACGTGTAAGACAGTTTCTTCTAAAAAAGGAAATTGGTTCAGAACTGTTCAGAAATAGGTTAACTCAATGGAAGGAATTTAGTTTGAAATTTTCAGACCAGAAGTGATCAGTTAAAATTCTGAAGGGGTTATTTGAAGCTGAGAAAGTTAAAGATTCATTGTAGAAAGAGGCCATTAGGATCTCAAGACTGGGAATTGGAGCCACAGTTAGTTCAAGCCGTATAAATGTGATAGAGAAGGGAATTTTTCAAGGTGTGATTACTGTAAAGATATACAATGGGAATTAATGAAATTGTGATTTACTGTGTGTTTTGAAATCCTTAAACTTACATTATATGTAACTAGTTTGGTTTATTCTATTTTATCTTTTTTTGTGCAATAAACTAGTTTTGTTTTTAAAAACCAGATCTGTGGTATTGCACGTTTGTTTCAGTGAAAGACCACGTCACTAAAACAAAAAAAAACTATTAAGCTAGATTTCAGTTGGTATCTGACTTGTCTAGTAATAACATCAGCTGGGATCATAACAATTCATAAATCCTAGTTCCTTTTTGTTTTATTTTTCGCAGTTTTTTCAGACTGATGCAGAAGTTAGCTATTTTTAAGTGAAGAATCTTATTGTAGGCTATTGGCAAAACTGGCTATACTTTTCAAAACAGAAATTAAGCTATTTGAGACGCAATAAAGGATAATTTCATTGTCCCAACAGACAGCTACGTGAATGGCAAAGATCACCCTGCCCTTTTCACTATCCCTATCTCACCCTTGCTGGGTCTTGCCTGTCTGGCCCTGGTGATGCCATTGCCATTTGCTGCTCCTCTATGACCTTCAGCCTCATTCTTGTTTCTGGACTTGCTGTGGCCATGGCAGTGGCTGCCACTCCCAGCGGCTGTGCTGGCTCTGATGAGCTGCTAGCTCTCTACTCTTGAGAGTGAAGTCCTCTTCGTGAAGGCCCTGGGAACCCTGATAGGTGACAGGTAAGTACCTGAATAGGATTTAATCTCCTTGGGGCTCCCAGCAACAACAGTGACATTGTTGTCTCACTCTATCCAGGTGGTGAATGGAGGCATTAAATTCATCACAAGATTGGAAAAACAAAGACACAAAAAAAACGATAATTCTTTCCATATTTTCTTGTTTTTTTTTTCAAGATATGATCATTTCTCCGTTTTGTGTGAGCTACTTCCTGTGGGACTTCCATCCTTGGCTGTTTGTCTGCAAACTCTGAAAAATGGTAAGGCATGTTATATCTAAAATACTTAAAGATCTTCTAACAACCATTGGCTTTCAGAGTTCTTCATTGTGAAGACCTTGCCATCTAATCTGCGATTGTTTGCCGATGTCCACACAGGGAATGAGTTGCTTTCCAAGGATAGATTATCAAATATTGATCATTAGGAATGACGTATGTTCATCATGATATAATTACTGGTTCTTTGTTCAGAATGAACAGCTCAGGTAAAGCACTGTTCCAGGCTACATTTATCTGAGTTGCAAGCATAAGCTGTAGACTAGTAATTCTCTGTTATCCTTGTACAGATTTTAACACCTTTAAATAGACTTACAAGGGTTGCCAGTCCCACCAACTGCCAGTGCTATTTCAATCCTGGCTACTTTGGAAAGTGAAATAAATTTATGAGGAAGCCATCAACAACATGTATTTCATACCAGACATTTACAACTTAGCAAGATAGCCCTTAATGTAGGACCACCTCAAATTTAAGGTACATATTTAGCAGCAGTAAGGATGGGAGCGTGTTAGCACAAGAAAAGTACTATAACAATGAGCATATCAAGGCAAAACTGCATTAGGTGAACAGCGAGACCAGGTTAATAGATAGGTCAGTAGACTTGCAGTGGTAGATTTTTAGGAGATCTTTAACATTCTTTGCAGAGGCTTATCCTCTGAGAAAGAAACACTGTTTGAGAAAGATGGATCTTTATTTTGTTAATTTATTGCCCATCCTTATTTGCCCAGAGGGCAATTAAGAGTCAACCACATTGCTATGGGTCTGGAGTTGCATGTAGCCCAGACCAGGTAAGGATGGCAGTTTCCTTCCCTAAAGGACATTAATGAACCAGATGGGTTTTTCCAACAATCGAAAATGAATTCACGGTCATCATTAGACCCTTAATTCCTGATATTTATTGAATTCAAATTCCAACATCTGCCATAGCAGGATTCAAACCCGGCTCCCCAGAACATTATCTGGGTCTCTAGATTAACAGTCCAGAGATAATACCACTAGGCCATTGCCTCCCTTGTAGCTAAATGAGGAAGATAAGGTTGATTTTACTTTGAAAGAAGCACTGTAAAGTCTGAAAAGCTTTGTGTTATGTTAGATGCTAGATAAACTGTTAGAAGAAGCAAAGAACAAGCATCTCTGCTTTCTGCCTCTATCATATTTTTAGAGTGTGAGAAAAAGCTGAATAGCAGTATAAAAATAGATAGTAAGAGTTATTACAAATATTTGAATAGGAAAAGGGCAATAAAGGGGAGTATTTGTTGTCCAGAAAAAGTGTCTGAGAAATTCATGATAGAAAATAAAGAAGTGGTGAAGATTTTGAACAGGTATTTTATGCCTTGCCTCAGCCAAATCTAGTTGAAAATCAAAGGTGATAAAAATGATGAACTTAAGACAGTCCCCAGTGGATAAAGGGAAACCAGTAGATGTGCTGTACTTGGATTTATAAAAAGAGTTTGATAAGGTGTCACATTAAACATAACTGCACAAGAGCACATCATATAGGGAGCAACATAATAAAATGTATCAAGGAAGAATAGAGCAGCGGTAAATTATTCTTTTTCAGGTTGACAAGCTGCAGGTAGTGGAGTGCCATTAGGGATCAGTGCTGGATCTTCAGATATCTACAATCTATATCAATGAATTGGAATAATGAGACATACGTATGGTGGTTAAATTTGCCAATGATACCAAGATAGATAGGAAGATAAGTAGTCAAGAAGAGGTAGAGTCTGCAAAGGATAATAGATCGGCAAAGTTAATGAGCAAAGAATTTTGGCAGATCAAGTATAATGAGGTAAATATGAACTTGACTATTTTGACAGGAAGAATAGAAATGTGGTGTTTAAATGGAAGGAGGTTGCAGAACTAAGTGGTACAGAGGGATCCAGGTATCCTGGTACATGAATCGCAAAAAGTTAATGTATAGGTACAGGAAATGATTGTGAAGGCAAATGGAATATTGGCCTTTATTGCAATGTGAATGGAACATTATAGTAGGGAACTTAACTGCAGTCACACAAGGCACTGTCGAGACAACACTCTGGAGTAGGGTGTACAGTTATGAACTCCTTATTTGATAAAAAAAAGATATAAATGCTTTAGATGCAGTTCAGAGAATGCTGACTCATTCCTGAAAGGATGAAAGGCTCATGTTATGAAGAAAAGTCGAACACGTTCAATCTATGTCCATTAGCATTTAGAAGAATGAGAGGTGATCTTTTTGATGTATAAGATCATGAGGGACTTTTTGGGTCGGTACACAGGGAATTTCTTCTTTACTTTGTGAGAGATTAAAACCAGGAGACATTGTTTAAGAATAAGTGATCTCCCTTTTAAAATGGAAATGAAGAGAATTTTTTTGCTCTCAAAGTGCATTGGAATGTGAAATTCTCTTCTGCAGACATTAGTGGAGGCTGGTTTATTAATTTATTCAGGGCTAAGTTAGATAGATTTTTGATAGACAAAGGAGCAAAGGGTTATAGGGAGCGTACAGGAAAGTGGAGTTGAAACCACAACCAGATCAGCTATAATCTTATTGAATGATGGTGCAGGAATGAAGGGTCAAATAGCATACACCCCATATATTATTAATAGAATGTATTATGTAAATAATACTTTTCTTACAGCAATGGTTTAAGTCCCACCGCATTTTCTTCCAACCAAACTCTGAATTTTCCTTTGCCTTTTTAATCAATGACTTACATATTTTCTGTTTTTGCAATGGCATTAACTACAAAATTTAAACACGGCTTACTCCTTTTCAGCATTTTTCATTTTATGAATATCCTCATTATGAAACAATCTCTATTTCTACCAAAGCCTAACTCATATGACAAATGAATATATATCAATTAAATACACTATTCTAAAAGTGTTATTTAAAGTTTGCTTTTGTTGACTACGCCTTCAAGCTAAAACCTTTCCTCACATTTTTAAGTACAGTGCTTCAAAGTTACAATATGTGCATTATTGCTTCCATTACAATCATCAGAGCAGAGTAAAGTACATTTCCATTAAATATTAGGAAATGATTGTGTTGCAATTTGCCTGTGAGCGAGGATAAATGAACTGTACACAAGCTTCTGTGCTGCAGAAGCGATTTTGCAGTCCCGACGGGGCTTAAAAATCAATCAGCTTATAGTGAGTGATATAAAATAGGTCCTGACTTATTTTTACTTTATGCACAATGTAACATAAGATAAAAGTAACATTTTCCCTTTAATTGTAAGCTAGCAATTGACTGACAAGATTTGGAGGATAATTGGATGAATGAGAAAAACTAAACTGTGTTGCTCCAAACCGTAACACTAATGCGTTGACAAAGTTGGAAACTGAACCACATGGAAAAAAAGAGTAGGGTCTGTAGAGCCCCTGACTGTCAACATCCACAGTGTTGCTGAAGAACAATTTTAACTTCAAGCATCCAAACAAATAAATATTTGTCATAGCATCTATATCATGTTCTTTCCTAGTACAAAAGCAAGGTCTTTGGTATATTGTGTAACATTTGAATTGGTGCAACATATATTTAGAATTATAGCAAGTGTGGGAGCCTGAAATGAACCATGGAGAACTACACAACCTATTGTCAAAATTAAAAATGCTTTCCACTTTTAGATGGCTACACAAGGGGATTTTTGTTATACTCTCACTGTTCGGCAAACATGACTTTTAGGTGAATTTTGTACATGTAGAATTAACTCAGACTCAAATCAAATTGTTTGAAACTGGCTGGAATGGTGCTCAAAATTTTTTCATTTGGTACAAGAATCGTTATTCCCCCTTGCTTTAAAAAAAACCTTTTTGTGTTTCAAATCAGGTGTGTTCTCTGAAAAGGAAGAGGACTTTGTGAAAAAATGTCTTGGATTCAAAACGTTGAGAGTTAACTTCATAAGGTAACTGGCCAACAGACTTCATTTGAATACCCTGTTGCATTTCAAATACAGTAAGAAAATGTGAAAAATTAATTGTTAGAGGCAATAATATATATATATGAAAAGTTACATATTTCCCCGATTTGAGTTTAAAATTAAATTCACATAATACATTAATGCTCCAGCAAATTCAAACAGGCTAACATACGAACATCTATTATGAGAAAGAC